AAAAACTGCTTTAAAGTTCATATGGGAACCAAAAAAAGAGCCCCGCATTCTGCCATAATCCTAAGTCAGTAATAAAGCTGGAGGCATCACGCTACTTGATTTCAAATCTTATACTATAAGGCTACAAGCCACTAAAACAGCATGGTACTGGTACCAAACAGAGATATAGACCAATGGAACAGAACAGAGTCCTCAGAAATAATACCACACATCTACAGCCATCTGATCTTTGACAAACCTGAGAAACAAGAAATGGGGAAAGGATTCCCTCATTTAATGTAAATGGTGCTGGGAAAACTGGCTAGCCATAAGTAGAAAGCTGAAACTGGATCCTTTCCCTTACTCCCCTTGTATGAAAATTAATTCAAGATGGATTAGAGACTTAAATGTTAGACCTAATACCATAAAAACTTGTGAGGAAAACCTAGGTAGTACCATTCAGGACATAGGCATGGGCAAAGACTTCATGTCTAAAACAACAAAAGCAACAGCAGCAAAAGCCAAAATTGACAAATGGGATCTCATTAAACTAAAGAGCTTGTTGCGCAAAAGAAATTACCACTGAGTGAACAGGCAACCTACAGAATGGGAGAAAATTTTTGCACCACTATCTGACAAAGGGCTAATATCTACAACCTACAAAAAGAACTCTTCAAACAAATTTACAAGAAAAAAACAAACAACCCCATCAAAAAGTGGGCAAAGGATATGAACAGACATTTCTCAAAAGAAGACATTCATACAGCCAACAGACACATGAAAATGCTCATCATCACTGGCCATCAGAGAAATGCAAATCAAAACCACATGATACCATTCTGCCACCAGTTAGAATGGCAATCATTAAAAAGTCAGGAACAACAGGTGCTGGAGAGGATGTGGAGAAATAGAACACTTTACAATTGTTGGTGGGATTGTAAACTAGTTCAACCATTATGGAAAACAGTATGGCGATTCCTCAGGATCTAGAACTAGATGTACCATATGACCCAGCTATCCCATTACTGGGTATATACCCAAAGGGATTATAAATTATGCTGCTATAAAAGACACATGCACACGTATGTTTATATACACTATTCACAATAGCAAAGACTTGGAATCAACCCAAATGTCCATCAGTGACAGATTAAGAAAATGTGGCACATATACACCATGGAATACTATGCAGCTATAAAAAGGATGAGTTTGTGTCCTTTGTAGGGACATGGATGCAGCTGGAAACCATCATTCTTAGCAAACTATCACAAGAACAGAAAACCAAACACCGCATGTTCTCACTCATAGGTGGGAACTGAACAATGAGATCACTTGGACTCGGGAAGGGGAACATCACACACCGGGGCCTATCATGGGGAGGGGGGAGGGGGGAGGGATTGCATTGGGAGTTATACCTGATGTAAATGACGAGTTGATGGGTGCAGCACACCAACATGGCACAAGTATACATATGTAATAAACCTGCACGTTATGCACATGTACCCTACAACTTAAAGTATAATAATAATAAATAAATTAAAAAAATAAAAAAAATAAAAATAAAAAAGAAAATAATCTTGAAATCTAATGTACCCATAGTATCTTGGGTGACACTGGAGACAGATTCTACTAGGAAAGGCAATGCCCAGAAGAGTTTCATAATAAAATGGAAATGTATTGAGTAGGAACACATTACTGGGAAATACAAAAAGTTACAGTGTATTCATGAGTCTACCTGCTCTGACTGACTTTGGAACCACTTGAGGAGCTGCCAAATTCTGTTGACACTCGGACAGTGGCCTATAAACAGCTCTCAATTAACCAACAGATAGTTGCTTGGTTTATGAATAGCAGTTCTATTGTGAACATACAACGTTTTATTTGTAAGGCCACCCCCTGACAGAAGAAGGTGAAAACAAATAAGTGTGGTGGGCTGCACTGCATGCTATTTGCCTCGATATCTGAGTTTTTATTAACTTGCAGGCCATGGTCACATGGTCAGGCAAGAAGGACAATGGAAAACTGGCCTGTTATAGGAATGCCCATATAGGGTACAGCCTTCAAGGAACTTACTATGGGAACTTGATGGGTGCATTAAGGTATGGCGTATCAATGCTTATCAGGAGACTTCCCCTTCTAGGTTCAAAAGGTGATTGGAATTGACGAGCAAATACCTCAGGATGCCTGCTTGAGGTGGCCCCCTTGGGTATATGAAGCAAGTGAACACTGGGGGCTGCAGCAATGCAGAGATGAACTAAATCTAGAAATGTTCCTCTCAAACCCTCTGAGGCACAAAATACCAGCAAGAACTTTCTGTCTGCCCATGACAGACTGCAGATGGCTATAGGGCAGATTCCCCAGGAGGATGGCCCTACATATGGCTGGAAACCTGGACTCATGCCAGTAGCCCTGGAGGGCTACAAAAGGGTCCTGAGATGAGTAGATGCTGACTCTGCACTGGGCTTTGCTTAACCAGTGGTAGCCTGGCAAATACTGAGGGAACTATAAAAGAGCCAGCAGAGAAGATAATGCATTGATTTGGACTACCTAGTCACATTTCATCAGACCAAGGAACATACTTTGCAATCCATAATGTCCAACAATGGGCAGAGAGATATCTTCCCCAGAGTAATGGTTTGGTAAAGAATCAGAATGGTAAGTTAAAACAGTGGTTTTCTAAAACAGGGGAAAGCATGAAGAACTGGCTTGCATGCCTGCATGAGTATGGATTCAGCAAGAGAGAAGCAAAGAGATAGATTCCTGCACTAGATAGATTCCTCTGTTTTTTTGTTTTGTTTTGTTTTGAGACAGAGTCTCGCTCTGTCACCCAGACTGGATTGCAGTGGTGCTATCTTGGCTCACTACAACCTCGGCTCACTGCAACCTCCGCCTCCCAAGTTCAAGCGATTCTCCTGCTTCAGCCTCCTGAGTAGCTGGGATTACAGGTGCGTACCACCATGGCCGGCTAATTTTTGTATTTTTAGTAGAGACAGGGTTTCACCATGTTGGTCAAGTTGGTCGAACTCCTGACCTTGTGATCTGCCCACCTTGGCCTCCTTTAGTTTTTTTGATGGATCTTAGGGAGAGGGGGAGGGGAAAGGAGGATGCTGGTATGGCAAAACACTTTTTTCTTTCTTCCTTATATCACCTTCTCCTACTTGACACCATGGTCCCAAGACCAGGGCTACCACTACAAATGCCAGAAGCAGGGATGGTTCCCAAGAAAGAAACTATAACTATACTTTTAAGCCTTAATGTTAAAATTCCTAAGGACCTGATAGGATGGGTTGTGCCTTCACTACATCTGGAGATTGGGGGTTTAATAGTGAATGCAGCTTTATTGGCTGGTAGAGGAAACAGCCTGTTTGCTCTGTACAAATGGATAGGAGAAATAATAGCTGTGAGTAAAGAAATGAATAAATGGGTTATGCAATAAGTAAAATACTACATTAATGCTTCAAAAGAGGCTCAGAGCAAAAGAATGATATTGTTTCTTAGCTTAATTATAGCTGATACATGAGAAGATGAAGCCATATATTGCTGAGACCTCTCCTACTTGGAACTTGACAAACTTGAATGGAATCCTGCAAACCTCAGAGGTCTAAACTTGAAGACAACTTGGTCACAGAACATGATGATGGACTGAACTAATTATTTTGTTTTTTGTTTTTTGGGTTTTTTTGTTTGTTTGTTTTTTTGAGACGGAGTCTCACTCTGTCGCCCAGGCTGGAGTGCAGTGGCGTGATCTCGGCTCACTGCAAGCTCCGCCTCCCAGGTTCACGCCATTCTCCAGCCTCAGCCTCCTGAGTAGCTGGGACTACAGGCACCCGCCACCACGCCCACCTAATTTTTTGTATTCTAGTAGAGACAGAGTTTCACCATGTTATCCAGGATGGTCTCCATATCCTGACCTCGTGATCCGCCCACCTCGGCCTCCCAAAGTGCTGGGATTACAGGTGTGAGTCACTGTGCCTGGCCCAGACTGGATTAATTATTAATGACTAGTAGAACTGTAGTAATATGCTAGTGTCTTCTGACTCCTATTTTACAATATGGTATAACACTGGAATTGTTGGTAAGAGTATAAATACTGATAGTGATGATCGAATGTACTGGGAATGGAATTAAAAGCCTCCTATCTCTACCCAATATTGATTCCTCCAAACATTAGGCATACTCATGCTGGTCCTATTGACAGGAATGATCCTTTTGCCGTAAGGGATCCATGGTCATAGACCAGGGCGTGATCTGTAGTTGAATAATTTGTCTGGTCTTTGTCCTGGGCTCCTGGCAGGTAGCTTCAAAAATGCTTGGGATTTTCTGAGTGATAGAAGTGTCTTTGTTATCCTAATAAGGTGACTCTGGTGAGCCCCTAGATAGCTTCAGGATAGCGGCTGGTCACCAGAAAGACCAATCTCATGTTCAGAGAGTTTAGCACTTTTCAGCCCTCCACCCCACCAGCAACCTCTTGAGAAGGGACCTGGAAACTGAGTGCAATCACATATTTATATTTATTTATGAATACTAATGTGGCCTAGATTTTTAAACAGAAAATTTAAGTTATTCATACCTTTCTTTCAATTAACTTAAAATATGAATTTAAAAATATAAACAAATTAAATAGTTCAATGAAGTGCAATATTTACAATGTTACCAAATGAAGAAAAAGGGAATATTTAAAAAGATCAAAAACTTAAACATTAATATATGTTTTTAGGACCACAACATTAAATTCAAACTCTCTACCAACAGCTACTATAAAGATGTTTTTCCTTATTACTGATCTTTGATGTTGTGACAATATCTATCTGTTCCATTAACTGGATATAGTATGACAACTTTAGCTGTTTAATTAACTCATGTTTCAAAAACAAATTAGAAAGCTCATAATTCTTTTTCTATAAAGTTGATGTATTGGTAGAAAATGTAAGTTAATTTATGAAAATTTTATAGTGTTAACAAATTTTATAGTTTTAACAAATTTTCATATTTGACAGGAAAAATTATAAAAATGTACTTACTTTTTTCATCAGCTTTGTCTCTTATTGCTATGGTATCATTACTCAAAGATACAGTCTGTGCATTCAGAATATCTGTTCTCATTCCAGGAAATTTTGGAGATGAAATAAAGCGCCCTTCATATGAATATAAATAGATACTACTACCATCTACAAGAAGAAAATGTCTAAAAAATAAAGAACAGAAATAGATTCTCAAATAGGAGTATATTATATTTTCGTTTTTATATTACAGAATAGTTTATCCTTGGGAAAAAAATCTAAATCTTACAATTAATATAAATGTGTAGATATATAAGGAATAAAACATTTCAAACACTGAAAACCAGCATTGGTTGTTCTGGTTTGTTTTCTCGGTTTTTGTATTATTATGAAGTAGAAGAAGAAAAGTGAAAAGGTCCATAATCATCACCCTATACACTAAAATTTTGACTTCTTTTACATTATACCCACAATTCATTTCCTTTCCTAAAGAAGATTCTATACAAAGACAATCAAAAAATCTTAGAGTTTACAATACAGTCATGTTAATGCCAGGTGCTATTTGTTTCATGAAACAGTCTTAATACATATTTTATAACTAAAGATTATGCTAAAAATAATTAAAGATTAAATAGTGGTTAAAGTCTAAAGTAGTGAAAATGACTAAAAAAATTAACATTAGGGCAAGCATTTATTAAAATAAGGTAGTTGTGACTTTAAAATCATATGGTGACTATCAGTATGTATTCATATCTAAAAACTCATATTTTTTTGCCACAGGGTCAGATTCATCTGCTATATTGACAACCATATTTAAGGCATAGGGCTCTCTGTTGTTACTTTTTTATTAACTCGAAACATAAATATTTTATGGCTGTTATATTTTTCCTTTGAAAATTTATGAATATTGTACAAAATAATTCAAGCAATACAGAGAAAACAAAAGACCTCTTGAGATCCTACCTCCATAGAGAAAACTATGGCAATAGTATATTGCTTTACTAACTCACTCATTCCCCGATATACATTTGTTTCAAATTATTCACTATTTTAAAGAATGTCTACAGTGTATATACACCTCCATATGTCTGCCCTACTTATTTCCTTAGTTCAGCTTCTAGAAATGCAATTACTGGATTAAAGAGCATACATTTAAAATGTTTAAATATATATTGTTATACTGCCCTTTGAAAAGTTGTATTGATTTACACACATACTATGGCTATATGGGTGTGCCTGTCTCCTTAATGCTGAAGACATTATTACTTTTCAAAATCTTATGTTTAATGTTTTAAATATCCTTGATTCAGAATTGGTTCTTGATTTAGGAATTGCTAATTGTTCTTTTTTTGCTATGGAAACAAAAAGGAAATAAACACCAAAACCAATGAAAAATTAGTATCTAATGAACACCAACTATATACACTTCAATTAAATTAATACTTGAGGATTGGTAGGTAGTTTATTTAATTGAAGGGTTTGGCCCTTACACACTGGTGTATGGTCATACATATTGGTTTATGAAAACAGTACTTGCTAAACTTGACAAAGTGACATATATTAGTATATATTCCTTTGTCTCCGTACTAAAAGTATTTTTGTTTCCAAATAAGACACTATAGCTTTTAACCTACTTGTGAGTAAACACCCTGTTTCAAGGGGCAAACATCTCTAATTGCATAAATAAGACCAATGATAGGCAGTGACTAAATTTTTTGGCTATTTATGCCATTAATATATGTCTTTATTAAGAGTATACTCAATAAATACATTTATAAATAATGTATAAATGAATTTATTTGGAACTGTTAGAGTAAAAAGCATTTCAGATATATGTTTCTTAGATAGCTGACATCTTACCTTTTAAATGACAAAAATGACTTAAAAAATTTATGGTATAACTAAACAATTCATATATTTCAATTTCATTAAATAGATAACATAAAATTTGATATAACACTTCATTGGTCACTCAAGGTCATCAATACTGTGATCACATTTTTCACTAACTGATAACTTTGATATTCATAAGAATCTGTTGGTGTGCAGAATCCTTACACTACTCAGCTACACAGTTCTGTGCTTTTAGTTTTCTCCATGTTCCCTTGCCAGGCAGCCACTTTTCTTCCTATCATTGTGCCAGCCTCTAGCAGTCCACCAGTACCATTCTTCTTATGGTTTTCTATTTATAAAAAGCTGTGGGCTAGAAAAGCTGATAATAAACACTATTAAGAGCTGCCTACATAATGAGTAAAGGGATGAGGAATAAAGCGCATGGTTTTGGGGCAAATGTTTTATGGGTAGATATTTTAGGTAACTGTCGATTATATTTTCACAATTTTTAACAAGCTTTATTGGGTTGTAGCTAAGTCCTCCTCTGATTCAGTAGGCTATTGCTGTACGCAAGAGACTAATTGACAGTTTTTCATGGAAAAGCGTAGGTTCTTGAGTAATAGCTATTCCTAATTTACTCCAGTTAATTGCCTGGCATTTCTTAGTCCTGTATACACTGAATGTCTTAGTAGAGAAAACTAGTTTTCAAACTTCAGGTCACAGCCCAATAGGCCCATGAAACCAAAGAGTTTCAACCAATATTTAAAACAAAGCAGAACAGAAAATAGGGGGGCTATGAGGTAAAAATTCTTTACTAGTTATTTACCTAGGTTGCTCCCATTCTCTCATGTCATCACTCGGATATTTACTTGTAATGAGTTTATTCTCATCATTTAAAAAAAATAGCTTTAAAATTTGTTTCAATTTCTAATACCATAAATACTGATATATTTAACCCACATATAACCCTCAGTAATTTTCTAAGAATGTTAAGAAATTCAGAGACTAAAATGTTTCAGAATCACTGATTTAAAAAACGTTTTTCTTTTTATTCTAAAATGTATAATAGAAACAGATTGGTTCTAAACGATTAGTATATCATTCTTTTAATTGGATGTTTTTATTAAAGAGTGCTTTAATGCTATTTATTTTAACCCCAGATCCAACAGTTAAACATAATAAATTACCTTTCTGCCTGCAGAATTAAACTAACAGTTCCTTCTTTGAGATCAAATATAATCGGTGTGTTCCAGTTCTTCGTGCTAAAAGACAAGTAAAATGGATATGTATTAACATTTAAAATAGCAAATACTTTTAAATAAGTAGATAGGTATTCATTTTAAATAAAGTGACTTCAGTTTCATAGTAATTATATACATACTTCTATTACAGCATTTGGTGCATTGTTCTGAAATTATTCATTGATGTGTCTGTGTCCCCAACTAAAAAGCAGAGACTCTGTATCCCCAGCAATTAGCACATAATGGGAATCCAATAAATGTTTACTGGAGGTATTACAACGTGTGAATTGAGGAATTCTAAGTTTGAGTTCTGCCATTTATCGGCTCTGTGAGTTTGGGCAAGTCATCTAATGATTCTCATTAAAAAAAAAACAGCAGCAGCATGGCATAATGAAGAGATGATAGCTTTTTGTTAGACATATCTGGATTAGAAATATGGCTTCACCACCTGTCAGCCACTTGATCTTAAGCTTAACCTGCTAAGCATTAGTTTCCTTATTTGTAAAATGGGGATAATGATGACTTACATAGTATCTGGCAAACTACCTGTTATAAAGCAGGTACCAGGCAAAACAGAAACTGTAATAACAGTAATATAATGAACATGATTATTTTTCCTGCAGACCTCCCAATGTTATTGTTGGGTTGAAATGAAAATATTTCTGTGAAGCATTCTGTAAACTCTAAAATACTATATAAATGTAAGCCATGAACAAGCTTATTGGATAAATTGATTAATAAATGAACAAGCAAATCATTTAGTTTTTATAGGGTAACATCAATCAAAGATTTGGGTGGGTAAAGAGAACATTTACAAACACAAAAACTCATCCTTAAAGAATAAAAGTTGTTCCACAGTTTAAAATAAGTTTTATTACTTCTATATATTCTGAATTTCAGTAACTTTCATAAAGCCGATTCTCTAAATCAGATTAAATCTCATGTTCAAATCCAGAAGATGGAGGAGGGAAGGGGAAGGAAGCAGTGAGTAAGCAAACAGGTAGGCAACTAATCTTGACTAATGTAAAGATTCTGATAATAATTTCAGTAAGTAAATACATGGACAAGGCAAAATAACAAATAAATAGCTGCTAATAATTAGTGATTATTAATTACTGATTATTAATTAGTCTGGGTTCATAGATATGATAAAGATATATGCTTTTGCACTTTAGAAAAAAATCACAAAATACTTTATTAATTAACCTTCATTCTTTGTCAAGAAAGTTGATAAGAAAAATAGTGATTATGTGAGGGTTTTTTTAATGTCCCCTAAGAAAATATCTGAGATTCCTGACAACTGAGAGATACATAAATGCCACGGAAATATAGACTCCCTAAGCTATAAATGCTGAATAGAACAAGAATATTAATATAATTATCTGAAAAATCAAATGAAAATTTAATATAGAATGCTTATATATTGTTTTCTTTTTCTGGAACTTCTTTTCATATAAACTAGTAAACTACTTGCATGTCTGTTTTTATAATTATATTTTTATTACTAAAAAAGAGCCAACAGTTATTAAGAACTTGGATTCAAATCCCCACTTTCCTTTAGTAACAAAGTCAATAATCTGATGTAAGGCAAGTGATCTAATCATTCTCTATGTCCTTTAGCTTCAGCTTTCAAATCAGAATAATAATAAACATGAAAGACAGTATAACAGTTGCTCAATAAATGACAGTCATTATTATCTAAAATGCTAGTAGGCTTTTAAAACTTTATGAAATATGTTTTTGTGGTGATTCATTCCCACTACTGCATCCTTGCATTTCATTACCACTGCTGCATCCTGGTATTAATATTTTGTACCTTAATAAATGTCTTGACAATCAAAGAGGGGAGGCAAGGTTCAAACAGAAAAGAAGAAAAGCAATCTTAAATTTGTCACACATTAACTTGTAAGGGAGCCCAGGCGCGGTGGCTCACGCCTGTAATCCCAGCACTTTGGGAGGCCGAGGCGGGCGGATCACGAGGTCAGGAGATGGAGACCATCCTAGCTAACACGGTGAAACCCCGTCGCTACTAAAAATAAAAAAAAAAAATTAGCCGGGCGTGGTGGCCGGCGCCTGTAGTCCCAGCTACTCGGGAGGCTGAGGCAGGAGAATGGCCTGAACCCGGGAGGCGGAGCTTACAGTGAGCCGAGATCGTGCCACTGCACTCCAGCCTGGGCCACAGAGAGAGACCCATCTCAGGAAAAAAAAAAAAAAAACTTGTAAGGGAAAAGTAGAATGACCAAAAAAAATTAATAGCTGCTAAACTTTGGGTATTTTTAACGGCAACTTCTCTAATACATGTAACACCTAATGATACTAATCCTAGAGATTCAAACATTATGTCCTTGCCACTATAACTAGCATGATACTAATCCTACAGATTCAAACATTATGTCCTTGCCACTATAACTAGTAGAATAATGGGGAAGTTATTATGGGGAAATTAAGAGCCTTATCTTCCCTCAAACAAACACTAAACTGAAGAGATCTCTGTTCTCCCCTGCCCCATGAAAATTAATTATTCAAACACTTATCTGCATTACAGTGATTGTATGGTTTTCTCACATTCTACAATCCCTTCCCCACATCTCAACTGCTTAACTTGGTATCTTTTTTGAATTTTCCCAAATTCTTACTGTTCCTCTTTTGCTCTCATGTAAGGAAAAAAAAAAAAAAAAAAAACTCACATAAAATTAAATTGCTTATTTCTTTATCCACTCACCTCTGTTTCTTCTATTTCATTACTTCAGATTTGGCTATTTGTCCCAAATTGCAGATTCTGATTAGTAGCAGGTTTATATATAGTGAGTGGGAATTTTCAAATATATAGTTGTAGCAGTTGTTAATTAAATACCTTTGTGTTGTGTACTATTAGACTTTAGGATACCAAGATGATGCTATACTTTACATATTTTAATTCATTTATTCATTCAAAAGTATTTATTAACTACTCACAACACATTGGGCACTGTGCTAGGTGCTAGACATATAGTGGTGAATGAGACACATATAGTCTCCATCTCAATTGTATATTCAGTGACTAAACTATAACTACGTAATGTTACAAATAATAAGGACAAAATTTTTTAAAAATCCTTAACTATTTCTAACTCTTGAAAGCATCATAGTGGTTACATGAGTTTTTTGGATAGTTGAGGAATCAACTGGTAGCATGCTAGAGCCAGCTTGTACTAGTTACTAAGTTTTCAAGAATTTTGTAAGCCAACTGTTAAATAAAGCCATTATTTATTATTTGAGACAGGGTCTCACTCTGTTGTCCAGGCTGGAGTGCAGTGGTAGGGTCACAGCTCACTGCACCCTAGACCTCCTTGGCTCAAGCAATCCTCCAGTCCCAGCCTCCTGAGAAGCTAGGATCACAGTGCGCACCACCATGCCCAGCTAATTCAAAAAATTTTTGTAGAGATGGGGTCTCACTGTGTTGCTTATGCTAGTCTCAAGCTCCTGGACTCAAGCAATCCTCCTGCTTTGGTCTCCAAAAGTACTGGGGTTACAAGCATGAGCCATTGCACCTCGCCTGACTATTAACTGTTGATGTACAAACCTTATTAGATCTATGTTCACTGCTCTATGTTCACTTTCTCTCACTTCCTGGTTTGAGGTAGTTCAGGATAGCTGAGGTTTTGAGAAAGTTAAGCTTAAACCAAACCACGCTGATGTGAAATCCTGAAAATAAACTCCTCAGCATAGACAAAACTCTGAATTTTTAAGAAATGCAAGATGCTTACGAGAACACGTAACATTGAAGAGACGTTGAAACAACTAAGTGTGCGTAGTTCAAAGATGCTTTAATGACTCTATCACGGAATTCCAGTAAATCCACTGCATCATTAAGAACATTACGAACCTAAACAAGGAAAAATAAAATGCCAACAAACATCATTAAAACATATTCAAATTTTATTTACATAAGTTAGCAAGATTTTGAAACACAAAAAAATTCAATGCACTACTGATTACCTAATCATATAAAAAAGAATTTAATAGAAACTAGGCATAAGATAGTATACCTAATATTAAAAAAACCAACCAACAAAGTAGAGATACAGAAAATCTCTTAGAAATAAGTAGAAAAAGGCCACAGAGATTTCTAACTTGCAAGCCAAACTTAATGATGTAGCAATGGAGTGACATAAAAAATATTCCAACACTGAGATATAGTCAAAGGAGGGTGGCATATTGAAGTTGGAAAGATTCTATGTGATTTCTGCCCAAAACGGTAAGAATATCTCTTTTTGGGGTTAGATTTTACTTAAAAATATACATTCTAAAAGAAGAGACATAATTGCTTTAAAAATCAAAAGTGGGGTAGGAGGTACTGGTAAACAAACCAATTGCATGGTGAAGAAGCCAAGCTGCAAGGAATGGGGAAAGGTATTTTCATATGCAAAAACACAGAGACAGTGTCTAAAAAAGCCAAGCAGCAACTAACAGAGAGAGATTTGCTTATGACAGATTTATCATAAAAGTTTGTAACAGACTATTTTGCAAGGATTTTAATATTTGGCAGTATTGGACAAAAATCTTGAAGTTGACGAACAAAGTGCAAGAAATTAAGAAAAACGTTGAGCAAATTAAATTTACCTAATCTCTGCCCAATACCAGAATGGGTATGGCAGTACAGTAAGAGGTGAAAAATAGAGGAAAAAAACATAATTATACCTACAAATTAATACTGCTTTAAGTTCTCCTCAAAATGTTACCATTTTTCTAAATACAATGTGACAATTATAATATTAATGAACAATGAAAGGGTATGGAAAGAAAAACAGGAAGGTAAATCTAACTTCTTATAAGTACTTCAAAGAAGTACTTATGCCTACCAGGCACTGCCATGATCTAAATGTTTGTGTCTTCAAAATTCTTATTTTGAAACCTAATCACCAGTATGACAGTATCAGCAGGTGGAGCCTTTGGAAGGTTATGAGCCCTTATAAATGGGATTAGTGCTCTTATAAAAGAGGCCCCAGAGAGCTGCCTTGCCCATTGCACCAAGCAAGGACACAGCAAGAAGGCACCATATATGAATTAGAAAGTGGGCCCTTGCCAGACCCTAAATCTGCTGGCACCTTGATCTTGGACTCCCAGCTTCCAAAACTGTGAGAAATAAACTTCTGTTGTTTATAAGCTACCCAGATTATGGTATTTTGTTACAGCAGACCAAACAGAATAAACAGGTATGTTATTTTTTTTTTACTATCTGCTGTCTAACTCCCATCTCCACCAAAATATTGACCCAGCAATCTCATTTCTAGAGTTCCATCCCAAAGATAAACAAGCAAAACTATAAAATACCGTATGCACAGACTATCACTACAGCACTATTAGTAATAGCAAAAGACTGGAAATAGCCCAAATGTCTATTGATAAGGGACAGGTTGTATGAACTGATATAGTCACACATATAGAGACATAAAGTGTCTATACATACAGCTATAAAAAGGAATGAGGAAGATCTATAGATGTCCATGAGATGTAGTAAAGTAAAAAAATGTGGCCGGGCATGGTGGCTCACGCCTGTAATCCCAGCACTTTGGGAGGCCAAGACGGGCAGATCACGAGGTCAGGAGATCAAGACCATCCTGGTTAACATGGTGAAACTCCGTCTCTACTAAAAATACACAAAATTAGCTGGGCGTGGTGGTGGGCACGTGTAGTCCCAGCTACTCGGGAGGCTGAGGCAGGAGAATGGCATGAACCCGGGAGGCGGAGTTTGCAGTGAGCCAAGATCGTGCTATTGCACTCCAGCCTGGGTGACAGAGTGAGACTCCATCTCAAAAAAAAAAAAAAAAAAAAGGCAAGATGCAGAACAGCGTGTATAGTATGATACCTTTTATCTAAGACATGGAAGAATATGAAGATATGGATTTGCTCACATTTAAAAAAAATGAGAAATCTTAAACAGTATTCAGTAATATATTATTAGAATAATATTAATATTGTTATTTTCAAACTATATTTGGGGATATAATGTTTTTAGGAACCAAAATTTTCTGGTCAGAGAAGTGTTGCTCTTAAAAAAATCAAGAGTAAAACCCTATAATCTTAAATTTAAATTAGAAACTTCAGCATAAACTTGTGATGTATTTTTATCTGTCAAAAACAAAAACATTTCTTCCCAGTGTAGGATCAAGTACAAAGAAAAAAGAAAAAAAAATTTGTCTAGAAGTAATGATGAAATCAGTAGCAATGAACACACGTTATTTACGGATCTGACTGTGGTCTGCACAAAAGAAGCCTGAAACATCTTGTCATACCAGAAAGCAAAGAAGCTATTGAAATCAGTCAAAAGAACATAGGAGCCAACTGGCCAAAGATGAGACAATTTGAGCATTATAGAGAATAACCACGATGGGTTGAAACACACAGAAAATGTTAAAATCTACAAGTTTATAATGATAACATCAATGACAACAAAAATGAAATTTACTGGGCATGCTAGGAAACCAACTTATTTGAAAATTGGCAAATAGGAAAATCCGCATTTGTTACCATTCCCCATAGGGTAACCTAATGGTTGAGGAGGCAAACAAAGTCTTTCATAGGAGAATTCTAGCTAATAAATGTGAAAGGAATGATAGAATTACAATGTTACTATTTCACAACCCCCAATGAAAAATAGGTCTAAACAACTATCATTAATGGCAGCTAAAGGCATTAAGGTAAAAAACCCAGTGGGAAACTATATGATAGATGAATCAGGTTTCTAATACCTGAACACACTGATCAAATCTTAACATCACTAAAAGAGAGACAAGCAGACATATGTGCCTCCTGATTTAATGCAACAGGAAGTGCACAGCATCGCCTAAGGCTCTAAATCCAATAACCAGTCTAGAGGAAACACAGGATAAATGAACACATTAATTGTAATCAAGGCTGGGCATGGTGGCTTGTGCCTTTATTCCCAGCACTTTGGGTGGCTGAGGTGGGCAGAGTTCAAAACCAGCCTGGGCAACAAGGTGAGACCCTGTCTCTACAAAAAACAAACAAAAAAAATTAGCTAGGCGTGGTGGCAGACGCCTGTGGTCCCAGCTACTCGGGAGGCTGAAGTGGGAGGATCGTTTGAGCTTGGGAGGTCAAGACTACCGTGAGCCGTGACTGTGCCACTGCACTCCAGCCTGGGTGATAAAGTGAGACCATGTCTTGAAAAAATAAATACATAAATAAGTAAATAAAAATAAATAAATAAATGCAATCATACCACAAAGATGGAATCAGTCAAATACAGAATGTGGGAAATTCAACAGAATAACCCGGTTCCTTTAACAAATAAATTGTAAGTAAATAAATAAGAAGAAGTTGTTTCAGATTTTAAAAGACTTAAGAGACAAATTAACTAAATGCAATGTGGGGCTTTATTTCCTGATAAAAACAAACCAACTAGAAAAATATATTTAGAAAATAATTGGAGAAATGTGATCTGTTACTGTAGAAAGACGTTAGGAAAAGACTGGGGAAATGTGAATGTTACTATGGTAATGTTAAAATGAAAATAGTTCTTATCTTTCAGACTGTTTAAAAAGAACTTAAAAAACAATTCCAGAACTAGTGGTGAAGAAAAAGACATGAATATTTTTGCTCACCTCTTCAAGGCGTAGGAGGAATGACTGTAAAGAGGGGAGTAGTCTGATATCAAGTGTTTCAAAGGAGCTAGAGTTTTTTAGGGAAGAGGAGGTTATAATGGTCTAGAATCAGCAAGGAAGAGTAAGGAAGACATCTAACCAGATCCGGTGATACGCAGCACATCAAACAAAAACACCTCTACTTGAGAAGGCTGGAGGAAAAACACTGCTCTCAGTAGTCGGCTGCTTTTTGTTTGTTTGTTTTGAGACGGAGTCTCGCACTGTCCCCTGGGCTGGAGTGCTATAGCGTGATCTCCGGCTCACTGCAACCTCCGCGTCCCAGGTTCAAGCTGGGACTCTTCCGCCTCAGCCTCCTGAGTAGCTGGGATTACAGGCGTGTGCCACCACACCCGGCTAATTTTTTTGTATTTTTAGTACAGACGGCGTTTCAACGTGTAAGCCAGGATGGCCTCAATCTCCTGACCTCATGATCCGCCTGCCTTGGTCTCCCAAAGTGCTGGGATTACAGGCATGAGCTACCGTGCCAGGCCAGTAGTCAGCTGTTGTTAATTAGCACAAGAATGCTTTTAGTGAAAGGGCTGAGCTTTGTCTGCAAGGCCACAGCTATATGACTGCAGGTTGTGTACTGCACAACTCTGGGTCTATGTGAATGGTGCCCTCTGGAATTGAACAGGCCGCTGACTGCAGGTGGTGTCTTCAAATTTCCTAGGCCTACAACTACACATATGAAGCCCCATGTAGCAGGCGGCTGTAGAATTTTTAGGTCTCCTTTCAGGATGGAGAGAAAGGAGCTACCTCATAGACCCCCAGGCTCTGATTTCAAACAGACACTTGAATCTAGTCCCTTGTCTCACTTCAAGTATTAATACTTTCAGTTTCCTTAGCCAGCAGGAGCAACTTTCCTCACTGCCTTTCCCTGCCTGCTTCTGGACCTGGAGTAGATCTGAGACTCCACACTGCATTTTTGTTCTGTTTCTGGTCCAGAGAGATCTTTATCTTGTTTTTGAGGCCAGATGAGTCTTTTATATATCTACATATTTAAATCTTTTGGTGCCAAAAGTATGTCTCTTTCTTCCATGTATGAATTAACACCATTTTTGTGAGAAGTCTGAGCTCCCAGAGATTTTTTTTTTAAAGATCCAAAATGCCATCTTCTAGAAACAGTTTAAAGCTAATAGAATGATATAAAAATGTTAAAGGGAAGTTATATGTTAGTTTCTTTATAGCAACATGCTATCTAGTCAAACTGCTTGCAAACTTT